AATCTCATATAATTTACATGCAGTGCGCGAAATAGGTATTTCGCACACTATTTCGCGCACGGTGTCATGGTAACATAGGAAAGTGAAAAAAAGTGTCACTTCGCATGTTGTTATCAATGCGCGAACCTTGTCATTTTTTGACGTTTGTTGAAAAAAATAATTTAATCTCAATGTAAAAATAGTTATTTCGCAGTCGTAGAAAAAGTATAGTTTGTAAAGCGTGTGAAAAGTGCTATTTTCAACACTTGTTGCACAATATACTATTACAGCACTTAACACTGCGATAAAGTACTCCCTACACGGCATGTAAATGAGTGCGGTAGAGCGTACTTTACCGCACGCGAGCAGGAAAAAGTTTATTTAGTCACTGTACAAAAGTCTATACAGTGACTAAATAAACCTTTACAAACTGTGGCGACAATAGAGTTCCCGCCGCCATTTTGTGCCCTATCTCTTGCTTATTTTAAATATAAATATATAGGATTTAAATAGACGTCTATCATAAAAAATCGAAAACATCCTATTTGATGACTATTAGGTACATCAAGTACGTTGTTTCCAATTTTTTATGATGAATGTCCATTTAAATCCACTGACCTCTATAAATGGATAAGCACTAGCGTATTCGAAAAATGGCAAACTGTAGGACCAAAAACCTGCGCCAAACCGGGTAGCCGTTGTACGTGCGCAATACAATTTCACTGTTTCAATGTCAAGGTTGAGTAGACAGGACCGCAGCAGTTTTAAAAGCAACACAGTCACACGAAAACTCAAGGAAAACCACTAAAAACACCAACTATCAAACACGAACACGAAATAATAAATCCAGTCCCTCCCATTCTTTGGATCAATAAATATACTTATAAAAACTATAAACAAACAGACTTTTTTCATACAATGATAAGGCTGAAAATACCTGGGTCCTTATTCTTGAAACAGGGGAGCAGCGTTCCCAGGAGAACGAGTGTTCCGTCTTTGTTCCTTATATTATCATTTGCATATCACTGAGAAAGACGAAAGACTCGTTCTTCTGGGAACGCTGCTCCCCTGTTTCAAGAATAAGGACCCTGATATTTTGCAGGTTCATTTTTATTTGGTTGGTTAAAATAATTGACTTATAAAAAGTTTTTGTCTGAATTTTGAATTTATTTTTGAAAGCCAATGCAATATATTCTCAGGAGGTCTCACCAATCATTTTATTATTTAAATTACATAGTAAAATAGTTCATTGAAGCTTATCTTAAGGTATCATGAAAGTATCGTCGTTGGAAACTATAAATGGAAGCCCTTTGTTAAGTACCTAGCTGGAAGAACGGTCGCTCACAGTTAGGTATTCGTTACTATAATAATTATCAGTAATAATACCTTATTATAATTGATTAAAACCTAATTGAGAAAACAAGAATTATCTTTCTTTTATTCCAGTAGGAAATATATTTCCAGTTATTTCAATTTAACAATTCCGAAATCCGGCCCTGCTCAGCCGTCCCCGCCGTTATCTATCGGTAAGAGAGATGGATGATTTTCATTAGTGCGCATCTGACGATGCTACCCGGTTTTCTTGGATTTGACAGTTTCGCGTTGCGCATTCTACCTGTTTTTTCACCCATGCATAGACATTTTTCCACCTTGCGCATCTAACCGATTGCTTATCCACCCGAAGGGTTAGAGATCAGTGTTTTAATCCTATATATTCATATTTAAAATTAGCCAGAGATAAGAGATACAATTTTGGTTAAATAGGAAAAAAGTGGTACTTTGACATTTGAAAAATTCCGAACATTTTCCGGGATATCCGGAAAAACCCGAAATTTTGCAAAATTGATTTTATTTTTTCCTGAGCTTATTTGAGGAGATATTTCATGTATGCAAAGGTTCATTTATAGCCACTGTACAAAAGTCTACAGGGACTCTATTACCACAGTGGCAATAATTTTAGTCTTCTTTTTCATTGGTTCTTTAAAATCCTAGGTATTCATATGGAAAACGCCGCCATTTTGTGCTCAACCTCTTGCTTAGGGTTGCCAGACGTCCCGATTTTAACGGGATAGTCCCGATATTGAAGATTTTGTCCCGTGTCCCGATGGACTATACGTCGGGACGCTAAATGTCCCGATTTCACGAAATTCTATTAAAAGTTGGAAAAAATTGTTATGTAACTTCCACACGCGTATCTTAAAGTATGCTGTTAACGCACTTGTATCGTAAATATCTATTATTTCATTGAAATCCCCATCTAACAGAACAAACGCCTGAACGCTATGATTTTTCTCCCATTATCCCATAATTCCCATATTCTAATTTTTTTTTCAATTATGACTGCCCAGATAACGATATAACCATTGCCGCGCGTTGCTGTTTGCCAGCAAGGTGCAAGCATTATGCGCCCACTGCGACACGCTTTGAGTTATTCCACCGCACGCCCCTGGCGAAACCGCCGTCTTTTGACCTTGAATGAAAACTTCGAATTTGATCCCCATATACGAGATCATAAATATTTCCAATGCTAAAAGTGTCCCGATTTTTATTCAAAGTCCCGATTTTTTAACAGTTTTTTGATTGGTTTACCCGATTTTTAGATATTTCAATCTGGCAACCCTACTCTTGCTTCTTTTAAATATGAATATGTATATAGGATTTAAATGGACATTCATCATAAAAAATTGAAATCAACGTATCCGATTACTATAATTAGGCATATCAAATACGTTACTTTCAATTTTTTATGATGGATGTCCATTTAAATCCTATATATTCATATTTAAAAGTAACAAGAGGTTGGGCACAAAATGGTGGCGAGACCTCTATTGTCGCCACTATATGTAAAGGTTTATTTACCTTGCGTTCGGTATTTTGCTCAAACAGCAGAGCGTGCTGAGCGGAGCCGTAATCACGTGACCAGCGAGCGAACAGAGAAGTTGAACACTGTATCAGAGTGCTCGAAATGTTAATAAACGAACGCGAATGAGCCCGAGTATACTTTTTAAATAAACGAACGGTAAATTCAAGCTCGGTGAACTCAGATTAAAATACCGAACGCAGGGCTAGTCACTGTACAGAAGTCTACAGTGACTCTATTACCACAGTGGCGACAATTGCCGTCTTCTTTTTGATTGGTGCTTTAAAATCCCATATATTCATATGAAAAACGCCGCCATTTTGTGCCCGACCTCTTCCTACTTTTGAATATGAATATATAGGATTTAAATGGACATCCATCATAAAAAATTGAAAACAACGTATCCGATGACTATAATTAAGCACATCAAATACCTTGTTTTCAATTTTTTATGATGGATGTCCATTTAAATCCTATATATTCATATTTAAAAGTAGCAAGAGGTTGGGCACAAAATGGCGGCGGGAACTCTATTATCGCCACTGTATGTAAAGGTCTATTTAGCCACTGTACAAAAGTCTACAGTGACTAAATAAACCTTTACATACAGTGGCGACAATAGAAGTCCCGCCGCCATTTTGTTCCCAATCTCTTGTTACTTTTAAATATAAATTTATAGGATTTAAATAGACATCTTTCATGAAAAATTGAAATCGACGTATTTGATGACTATTATTAGGTCCATAATCAAATACGTTGTTTTGCATGTTTTATGATGGATGTTCACCTAAATCCCATATATTCATACTTGAAATAAGCAATAGGTTGGCACAAGATGGTGGCGTTTTCAATATAAATATATGGGATTTTAGAACCAATTAAAAATAAGACAGCAATAATTGTCGCCACTGATGTGGGTAATAGAGTCACTCACTGTACAAAAGTCTACAGTGGCTAAATAAACCTTTACATACAGCATTTGATGACCATTATCAGGTCCATCAAATACGTTGTTTTCCATGATTTATGATGGATGTTCACCCTAATCTCATATATTCATATTCAAAAGTACCAAGAGGTAGGAAACAAGATGGCGGCGTTTTCAATGTAAATAAATATATGGGATTTTAGAGCCAATCAAAAATAAGATAGCAATTGTCGCCACTGTGGTAATACAGTCACTGTACAAAAGTCTACAGTGGCTAAATAAACCTTTACATACAGTGGCGACAATAGAGGTCCCGCCGCCATTTTGTTCCCAACCTCTCGTTACTTTTAAATATGAATTTATAGGCTTTAAATGAACATCTTTCATTAAAAATTGAAATCGACGTATTTGATGACTATTATTAGGTCCATCAAATACGTTGTTTTCCATGTTTTATGATGGATGTTCACCTAAATTCCATAATCCCATATATTCATATTTGACATAAGCAATAGGTGGGAACAAGATGGCGGCGTTTTCAATATAAATATATGGGATTTTAGAACCAATCAAAAATAAGACAGCAATTGTCGCCACTGTGGGTAATAGAGTCACTGTACAAAAGTCTAGAATGCAGCGATATCTAGCGGCTCTTACAAGAACGTTGTAATAACAATATACAGAATAGAAGGAATCTGCAAAAAAATAGCAATATAACAATCGGTACATAAAACTGCACATCGAAAATCGAAATATATCGTGTTGGAGTTAATTGTTAAGGGCGGGTATTATAAAACTATTTTGACACAAATAACTGAAAGTTGACTTCTGGATTGACGTTACTTCTCATATGATTCCAGCAGTTAACTTTGAGTTATCTTTCAAAATAGTTTCATAATACCCGCCCTAAGATGGTCCAAACCAAAAAGCAAATGTAAAAGAAAGAGAAGAAAACTGTGATCATCCGCTTCGATTCCTGTGAAATATCGATAGCGATGTTGCCAAAATAACTAAAAATGGAAATTAGGTTACGCCTAACTTTGAAGATAATCAAAAAACATAATGTATTCGGTATTCGTTCAAATATATACATATTTAGTTGATTTTTGAATAAAAAACAATAATTTATACACGCTAGTCGTTGGAAAAAAAGTGAAAACATTGACTTTACGTGTAGTGAGTTACCATCAATCCTAGCATTGGTTGGTTTTGATGATAAATTTGGCAAGGCAGCGCGTTAAATGAAGGAATGTGTAGGCGTGTTTTTGTAATGTAATGGCGCCTTTTCTAATAACAATAACAACAACAAAAAATGCCATAATGCGAATTGCGAATAACTTCCAATTGTTGAATTTCAATAAAAGTGCATTAAACTAGAACATAGGCGGAGATTCTGTCTGACTGATAGGAGTGAAGAATTGGAAAGTCATGTAAGTTATCCGTTTGTCTCAAACAAAAAATAAAAAACATTCCCAAGCCCAACCAAATTTCAAGAACAAAAAACTTTAAAATGCCAGCGTTTCTATATATGTCACCTGCAGCCTATCCCATAATATCCTCTCCTCTCTAACACACTTCTAAACAATCAAATAAACAATGATATTGTTTCACAGTAAACTACAGTCATGGAAACAGAAAATGTCTACGTCCCCGAGGAAGTGGCAAAAAATTTCAAATGTGTCATTTGCCAAAAGTTCCTTTTTGTTCCTCCTATAATGACGAAAGATGGTACAGCCTTCAAATGCGGCCGCTGCAGTTTTATAGCTTCAGATATGACTCAGCCAGTGCACGGATTTGAAAAATTAGCCTCTTACATGGCATTTCCTTGTACATTTAAGGGTTGTACCTCAAAATTGCCTTGGGAAGAGGTTACTGCACATGAAGCTACTTGTAAATACAGAATTATAAATTGTCCTTGTTATCATTGTGACGAAAAATATCCTATTTACACAATTATTCAGCATTTTGAAGTCCAGCATAAAAAGTACATGTGCATGAGCCAATGTAACGTACAGAATCGAAACATTAAACAACCTTACAGATGCCTGATGAGGCTTATTATTCATGAAGGGAAGCCCTATGTTATGTTCAACTATCGGGACGATGAATATTTTTGGCTCAGTGTTTACTCTATTAGAACTTCAAACAAAAATACGAATGTTGAACTAGTTTTTTCATCACTTGATGGAAAATATTCTGTAACAGTAAAGAGTGAATCTATCCAGCCTTTCAACGAACAGGAGCATTGCATTAATTGCCTAGATAAAGACTGCAAATCAAAATTCCACAAATTTTCCAAATTGTACAAAAGCAATGGAAAGATTTATGATAACATGGATTTAGCAGTTAATATTAACAATGTCGTTAAAACTCTAGGCTCAGACTCGATAAATTACACTGTTAGAATTGTGGAAAAGATGGAAGTAGAACCAACTGTCGAACCACCACAAGATTCGAAAAAAGATTTACAATTACTTGTGTTCCTGCAAAATTTGGAGTGCCAAATTTGTAAATCCCTAATGTCTGCTCCGATTTACAATTGTATAACTGGACATACAATGTGTAAAGATTGCAAAGCAAGAGTGATGAAATGTCCACAGTGTCAAAGAGAACTTACAGACTCTAGATGTTTTGCTTTGGAGGATATTGCTGATAAAATTAAGTTGGATTGTACAAATAAAAAGTTAGGCTGCAGGTTTGTGGGCAATATTGATGAGAATATTGCTCATGAAAAATTATGTACTGTTGTTTGTAATGTTATATTTTAATTTAGGGTAATATTTTTTTATTATTATACTTGGCGGTATTACTATTCTTACGTTTTAGGTATTACTTTTGTTAAACATATTTTAGTTTAGATTTGAATGCTAGTTTTTTTGCATTAAATTGAGGTTTCATTTAGAAATAAGAATAATATGCTTTATTTAAAATATGGTTCTTAATTTGATTTTTTTTTTTCTAAGAATAATAAAGATTGATTAATTTTCCATATTGTTGATTTCATAATTTGCCATGCGAAGCAAGAATAATCAACCATTAAACTCTTCATTGACTGAATCTACAGGGTGTTTGGTATTTCGATACATTCCTCTAGAGATGTGATAGGATATGAGGTAAGGAGTAAATTTAACCATAAAAGGCTTTATGCAAAACTCAATAGTTTTTGAGATATTTCAAGTTTTCTGTTTTTCTTGGAACAAGTGCCTTAAAAATTAATAAGCAAAAAATCTATCGTTTATTTTTCCAACTTTTCTACTGGATTACTTGCCCAACACCAAAGTTTACCAACACTATGGTCTTATGTTTGCGATAAAAAATATCTGGAAACATTTCCGTCATAGGAAAATTTTAAATAAAATCTCTTGAAAAATAATGTTTAAAAATATGGTAGGTATAATTTCTTATCGGTTGGAGAAATTTTATTTAAAATTTTCTCATGGGCCATGAGGGAAATGTTTCCGGAATATTTTTTAATACAAACATAATACCATATTGTTGGGCCAGTAATCCAAACATGGAAATATCTCAAAAACTATTGAGTTTTGCATAAAGCATGTTACCCATCGATGTTACCCTATATAAAAATAGACAATTATATCCTGAACAAAAGTGTTTAGTGTCTATTACATGGGATTTGGGCTTTGGGTCTCATTTTTTCCGGTACCTACCCTCAATCAATCAATATCAATCAATCAATATATTACAGAATTTTTTCTAATTTACATTGTTTAACAAAGTATACTTATTGCTATGTGTAGTCTTAATTTGCTATTTTAACACCTAGGCGATTTGATCCCCTGTATGTGTTACCTAAATATTTTCAATTTGTTTGAAAATCAATATATTGTATTTTTTCTGAATCTATTAATCTTAACCTAATATTACATAAATATTTGCAGTGTAAGGCAGCTAAGCATTTTTTTAAAAACAATTGAATTTATCCTTATTTATTAATTTCTCTCTAATAACTTCATTTCAGAAGTTTAACAAATTCCTCATTTCTGTTAAATATAAGATATCTACAGTTTTTGATAAATTTTTTCAAATTTGATGTTTTCCTTAATTCTACTGGTAATAAGTTGAAAAACTTTGGGCCTAAATAATTTAAGAATCTCAAGTTCATGGTTGACTTACTTTGTGGTATCTGTAGGTTCATTTGAGTATTAGTTCGAGTTTGGTAATCATGATTCACATATTTCTTAAAATTACTTTGTTTGTATACAAAAATGCATGTTTCTAAGATGTATATGGATCTTACATTAAAAATCTGATCACTGTATAGTTGCTGGGTTGGGAAAAGTTTATTCTTCTTATATATAATTTTGAGTATATAATTTTGTGCCACATTGAGCTGTTCCAGAACATTATTATACAGACCACCCCAAACTATAATACCATATCTTAGTAGAGACTCTACCAAAGCCTTATATATTGATATTAATAACTTTCGGCCCATTGATTCTCTCAGTTGATAAAATTTGTGGATAAGCTTCCTGACATTATTTTTCAGCTTCAAAACCTGCTCTTCCCATTTCAAGTGCTTATCAATGATTACCCCAAGGTACCTTATGTGAGGGACCTCCTTGATTTCACTCTGGAAATTCTCCACGTAAATGCCAGAGTAATCCGGTCGATTTGCCATAGTGAGTGAAAATGCTACATATTTGGTCTTTTCAATGTTTAACGTAAGTTTTTTATTGTCTAGCCAGTTTTTCACTTTAATTAATTCACTACTGGCCGTCCTTCTCACATCACCTCAAGTGTCTCCTGAGAAAAGTAGAACGGTGTCGTCGGCGTAAGATGTTACAGAGCCCTGTATTTGCATGTTAGTTAAAGAGTTTATATATGCGATAAACAGTATAGGGCCCAGAACTGTACCTTGTGGAATACCTATTTTAATGTTTAACATATCACTATAGGTGTCTCTGATTTTTACTCTTTGTTCCCTGTCAGAAAGATAGGAACGAAACACCTCCAACACAACACCCCTGACACCATAACTTTCCAAAGTGTTGAGAAGCTGGCCATGTGGTACCGTGTCAAAGGCCTTCGCCAAATCCAGAAAGACTGCAATTGTTTTTTTATTATGATCTAGGTTTTGAGATATTTGCCCAATAAGTTGATACATGGCATCACATGTGCTGACTTTCTCCATGAAACCAAATTGATTTGTTGATAGCACTTTGTTTTTTCTAAGAAATGACAATAATCGGTCTTTAAGACATTTTTCAAACAGCTTTCCGAAATTGTTCATTACGCTTATTGGACGATAGTTACTTATATTGTTTTGACTTCCGGACTTGTGGATTGGACTGACAACTGTTGATTTGAAGTGGCTGGGAACTATACTGGTCTCAAAGCTCAAGTTAATTATATAAGTTATGGGCCGTAGAAGGCTTTGGTGAATATTCTTTATGAGTCTGGCAGAAAGACCATCAATTCCGGGGGCGCTATCATTTTTCAGTGAACTGATGTGTTTAATGAGTTCGTTATGGTCAACTGGATACAGAAACATGGTGGCGTCATTGACATAATCGTCTTCAATATTATTTGCTGCGGGCTCTATTTGGCTTGCCATGTTTATTCCAACATTTATATAGTAATCGTTAACATAATCAGCCATGTCTTTATCATTTTCAAACCCTAACCTAAACTTTTTGTAATTTTTTTTTTCGGGCAAGGCACAGCAATCAAGGACCGTGTCGCCGTGACGCTGGTCGAAAAATAAATTCAATATGGCGACATAAGTCAAACATCTGTGATATGGGTTTGTTTATGCACTACGTTCTATTGATTTTTTTTGTACTTTTTTTAGAAACATTTATTCAATACAGATTTACGATGTGGGCCACAACTTGGTTGTGGAAGCAGTTCTTATCGTGACAAGATACCTAGTCTCGTTTTATGTCGTTCCTGATTCCTGCAGACGCAAAACGCAGGTTTTTAACGTAGAAAATTAGGATTTGCCTGTAGGGCTGATTATGTTTTTTTTTGAGGCGCAACCGCAAAAAGGCAGAACTTTCAACATTTTTGGGCTAGTTTGGGTTTTAGCCAACTTTCAGGTATTGCACTAATAACATTTCACTGTTTGACCCTTGCCGCCATATTGATTGCATTGCCCTATAGTCATTGCCCTATACCGATAGGTACTAGCAGTTTTCTCTGGAATTGGGAGTATTGGGACAAGTTTCCCCCAAGTATGGATAAAAAAATCTGTTTCTGGGTGACGGATGGTGCTGGTATACAGTAACGTCATAGGTAACGTCCTTTACCTTTTTCAGGCATGCAAAGAGGGGTGGTGCTGTGACTTGGCGTGCCACATCTATCATTATTTTCATTCATCAAAGGAAGGAAGAAAATATTAAAAGTTTAATGAATTAAAAAATGTTGAAGCATTGTGATGAATCTGATCATTGAGGCATAGGACCTCCCTGTTTTTAAAAGCACAATTAATTTCGGAAATTTCATAAAGATCAAAAGTATCAGTACTAAATAAGCCTTCATTAAAAAAATGAAGAAATTTTGTGTCCTTTTTGGAGGTTATCGTATCTTATCGTATCCTTGAATGCAACTTTTTTTAACCTCAAAAAGTTGTTCCGTTGATTTGTTAGCTGTGCCTGTAGGTTTTCAACGAAACGCAACGAGACCACCGTATCTCTTCTGCGCATGCGCAAATTAATTAGTGTCTATATGAGGTCACGCCGCCATATTCTTGCTAATTTCAAATGGGAATCTACAATTAGGCCACGCCTCTGCTCCTGCTGCCATATTCTTCCTCATTTTCAATAATAATAGCATATATGTATTGGTCGCGTTTGGGTTTTTCATACGCATTGATTTGTCAACTTTTTGATGAAAAATAAAAAACGGCTTCCAACCGCTAACAGGGATTTCCAAATATTGGGTGTACCTATTTTGCTGATCAGCAAATTGCTGATAATGCAGTTTTTGGCTGGATAAGCAATTTAATCGAATGCGATCAGTTTGTAAAGTTGCGGTTAGTTAGTAGAAGTGATGTGAGCCATGCAAACAATTGCCGCCTCCGTCCGCATCCATTGCCGCCCCCAGTATAGAAAATACGCCTGATGTATTGAATTTTTAATCCGATTTGATGCGATCACTCAGAAAGGGTGCTGTCAACATCAAAAATGATATTTAGAAGATAACCGCCCCCGTTGCCGCCCCCCAGAATTTAAAATACGCCTGATAGGAGGCTGTGGCCTGATATGTTGAACTTTCAATCCGATTTGATGCGGTCACTTAGGATGGGTGCTGTCAACATCGAAAATCATATGTAGAAGTTGACCGCCCCCGACCGCAGTCAATACCGCCCCCAGAATCAAAATTACGCCTGAAGTATTGAATTTTTAATCTGATTTGATGCGGTCAAATAGGATGGGTGCTGTCAAAATCAAAAATGATAGGTAGAAAATGACCGCCGCCGACCGCAGCCGTTGCCGCCCCCCAAAATCAAAAAAACGCCTGATGTATTGAATTTTTGATCCGATTTGATGCGGTCACTCAGAAAGGGTGTTGTCAAGATCAAAAATGATATTTAGAAGATGACCGCCCCTGACCCCCGCCGTTGCCGCCCCCCAGAATTAAAAACACGCCTGATGTATTGAACTTTCAATCCGATTTGATGCGGTCACTTAGGATGGGTTCTGTCAATATCGAAAATCATATGTAGAAAATGACCGCCGCCGACCGCAGCCGTTGCCGCCCCCCAGAATCAAAAAAACGCCTGATGTATTGAATTTTTAATCCGATTTGATGCGGTCACTCAGAAAGGGTGCTGTCAACATCAAAAATGATATTTAGAAGATGACCGCCCCCGACCCCCGCCGTTGCCGCCCCCCAGAATTAAAAATACGCTTGATGTATTGAACTTTCAAGCCGATTTGATGCGGTCACTCAGAAAAGGTGCTGTCAACATCAAAAATGATATTTAGAAGATGACCGCCCCCGACCGCCGGCG